TTGTGAACTAATTATAAGATTATATTGAATTGTTAGAATTTTATACCTGCTTGGAAATTTTTATTCTGTAAATTGTGATCTTTCAGAATTTGAACACTTCAAAATTATTTTCCCTCTGAAGCTGGCAGTTGATGCTGGAAATGGTCCCATGCACTGTATCCCCTACGTCTATATGGTGTGTAGCAGCACAGAGTGACAATGGCCTTGATTTGAGGATCGTGGTGTGGTGAGATCTGGCATAACTTTCTTCTCTCGTCGGGGTTGATGCTCTTCTCCTCTGTGCAGTCAAAAGAAAAAGGTGTGTAAGCACATTAGAAAAGGCTTACTTCAATGCCGAGTTATGCACATTGTGCATTTGAACACAGGGATCCTCTGTTGCAGGTTTTGCCATTGGGGTTAATAATAGGTAAGTGAAAGTATGTTTGAATCTTTCAGCTGAGATGGATGAGGTTATATAAAACCCTTGAGCTAGTATTGTTGCCTTGGGAAGTAGCCTCAGAATTTAAACTCAGAACATTTGTTTCTGTTCAGTACTGCTAAATGTAACTTTATCCAGAAGAAACTATTAAACTCTGTATTAACGTTAATATGTTTTCCTCTGGGGTGTGCAGTCCATAAAGAGAAAAGCGTGAATGTGTGAGTTGTGAGGCTGTTGGATTCTCCTTCAAAGAGTAAATACAATGTTGCATAGGTGTGTAGGTTCTGCATTTGCGACTGTTCAGATGTTTTGTGTCCCTTAATGCAATAAATTGGAAGGATATAGCAACCTTATCTCCATGTTGGTGAGGTACTTTGCTTTTCTTAACAGACTAATATTTTGCAGAAACTTTTTTTTTTATGAAGTGCAGCTGTGACAATGTGATTATAATCTTTGGATTCCATTAAATACTTTCTATCAGTACTCCTTAACATAAGTTTTACAATGAAAACAAATCAGATGATGTTAATGTCACACAAATGGAAATACTTAGGATCATGAAGTGATTTGTCTAATGTTATTCAGTCCCACGGTTAGTAATAGCTCTTGGGTCATCTCAGCCCAAGTCTATATTCTTAGCAGTAGACTACAGGACTGATGCACATTCTCAAAGTGCGTCTGTTTAGCGTTATAACCCATAAGGAAAGTGTAATGTTTAATCTTTAAACTGTTTAAGCTATAATTGTTGACTGGGCATGGAATAGACATTGTAGATGTGGACTGCATCACAAATCTGCAGAATTTTGTGATATTCTAGTTACCTGAAGCATGAGGATTAAAATGCTCTTAGCCTTCCTTTTTGTTTTAGTCTGCAGTAGTCCCAAAATATGCACTTTATTCTTCATTAATTTTTTCATATTGTATCTGTAAGCCAGAGTGGAATAAAACTGTCTTGAGAGTAGTTTAGCTGATTCCTTTACTAGCTATTCACGTTGTCTGTTAACTTGTATGTGCATTGGTGCTTGTGCCTGGGATGCTGAAGAAAACACTGTTTGACAGTTCTGTCCTCAAAACTAAAGCAAGCAGATGCAGTGAAGAGGGGCAGTTGCCCTGAATGGAACAAGTTACTCCTGATGCTGAGAGGTTTGGGTGCTATAAAGATTGCAGTGACAGCAGGTCAGCTACGGAGGCTTTCTGCAAAATAAGAACCCTGTGTCACTGGATGTGCCCCTTACTTATGAGGTGCAAGCAGATGTTTCTAGTGCTGTATCATTCCTGACTGGTGGTTTGCTTAAGAAGTCAAAATAACACTTTTCCTTGTATTGTTAGTCACTTGTGTTTCACTGTAATTCAGAGCTTTTTCATACGTTTCCATTCATACTAGGCTACGTTAGGCTCATCATCCTCAGGTGCATTGTCATCCTTTACTGCTGCTGTGAAAATAATATGATATGGATGTTCAGGATTGTGGGCAGTGCAGGCAGTAACTCTAGAGGTTTGGGTGCTATAAAGATTGCAGTGACAGATGGGAAACGCTCACATGGGAAAGTAGAGCCATGTCTCCTTGGTGTTATGGGAGCCTCTAGTCCCTGTCGGCTTTCTCATTGCCACTTCCATTGTCTTGTTTTCTCATAATATAATATTGACTAGAAAGCAATGCACTTCCCGTGGGTTGTGGCCTGAGGTGTGGAGTAGCTGAGACTTCCCCCTTCTGTAAGGGCCTCCTTTTCACAACCTGGTTTATGCAGTGCAATTGCTCCTTCACTCTTTGGCTCTTTTACTTGCTCCAGAGAAATGAGTATTTTTGTTTCCCTGTTTTTAGCTCTGGCCATATTGAATCGATCGAATTAAGTGTGTAAATCTGCATCGAATCCAGGCTTGCATTGACTCATCAGAGAGACTTTTGCCTCCAGGATACATATCTGAACCAGAGAATTGGGGTCTCTTGTCACCTTATTTAATTGTAAATGGTGAGCCTGGCATCGCACAAACGTTAATTCCTGGAAAGTGCAGTCGGAAATCAGAGCTAACTTGTCTAGACAAGTGCTGACTGCCATAGTAATTTCATTGATCGGAATCCATTAAATGAGTCAGTAATTTCTTGCAGATGCTCCCTGGAGGGAGCTCCTGGGAGGGACTGAACTTTTGCCACTGAGAGGGGAATAGTATCATTAGATTTGTTTGGCTTATCTCTGTTGCCTTGTATTTACTGGGCAGAGCTGCTTGTTTTCATTACCAGCCACAGTCCTATTTGTACTGTATTGCATGCTGAAAGTTACAGCTGTTCATTCAGCAGCGGCAGTCTTAAATCTAGCAGGGCTAAGTGCTAAGCTCTCGTTTTTCTGCATGGGATTGTCAGGTGGTGTCCAAACTCCACCCCGCTCCGTGTAGAACTTGGAAGGGACTTCTCTACTGAGAGGCAGCATTTCAGTCAGGGTAGGAGAGGTGTCCGTTGCAGAAGCTGCAGTGAGGTGTCACAGTTTGCACCTTTTAATTGCTTTACTGTCCCTGGGAGGAATGCACACCCGTGCGGACGCACCAGCCTCTGATGCCGGCGCGAATACGCAGCTTGCACAAGACCTCTTACCGCGTGTGTTACTACAGAACTGCTCTGCTACGTGTTTCTAGCAGCATACCAGCCATATATCCCTTGAGCTGAAGCATCCAAGTCCTGAGTTGTCAGATTCTTTGGCCTTTGGGCCAAGTCTGTCTGATATATAAACCTGCATAACATATTCAGTGTATTTATGTTCTGGGTGCAATTAAACCAAACAATACTGTTTTAAGAAACATTTGTGGTTTAACAGCATTCTCTCCGGCTCCCTACAGGTGGTTGTCTGATTTGCTGCTTGCTTTTTTAGAGCTTTTATTGACTTAGATTTGGCCTTTGATTCAGAGAGGTGTATATTTTTCTCTGGGGTATCCAAGAATTATGGGTTCCTCTGGCTGTGGTAACTGTACTTTAGTCATCTTTGAAGTTTTTAAATTAATTCTCAAAAAGTGGTTTACTGGTATATTCTTAAGTGTTTGAAAGACCAATGTGTTTTCGTATTTCACATTTTACCGGAAGCTGAATATCATGAAAGCTTTTGTAGCAGCTCCGTAAGGCTTATAAATACCTGACAAAGTTTGGGTTTACAGGGAAGAAAAAAATAAACATATTTATTACTTGATGTTTTGAAGCCAGGGCTGCTAGCAGGCTTTTGAGACCTCTTTTTCACCATAAACAAATACTCTTTAATTAAACTTCAAAAAAGCAAAAGAATGTGGGTGAGGTGGAAGATGATGTCCTCAAGGTAAAATATTTGCCTGAATCACTAATAGGATCTTTGTAACCAGGAGTGTTACTTTAAAACAAAGTAAATAAGGAGTATATAAAGTGTTTTCTGAACAATGATCGGTTTTCTGTAATACTTTAGAAATAAATAAATGAATTCACATTTTTTAAAATACTTATTTCAGGTAACTATGAGGTTCCTGGGTGATTTTTTTCTAACTAATGTTGTGAAAATTCATTTGTTTTAGTTTTGTTTAGGTTGCTGTGCTCAATTTGAAGGGTGTGATACTTTATTAGGATAATTGAACAAATTTGGAACACATTATTTTATAGTCATTTTCAGTTGCAATGATTAAAAAATCTCAAGACACCACCCTTTGGAAAAGAGATCATGAATGCATGTGATAAACACGTATTTTGCCAGTGGAGGAGTTGGAATGGGAGAGGAGAGGGATTGTGTATCCTGGCTTCCCCAAGAATATAGAACAAAGGCTGTGAAGGGCCTGAAAGTTTGGAAGACTGGGATCTCCAGCAGGCGTGCAGATAAATGCAGCGCTCCTATAAATGAGCGGTTACCCATAAGTGACCCGTTACCTACAAATAGGTACATGGATTAGGGTTTTCTCTGTAATACTGCTAGACAGTATAGGGGTAGTTCTGCAGAACTGTGTGTGACTTAGAGAAGAACACCTTTCCAAAATCCCCTTCAAAATTTGTGTTTAGATACAAATTGCCTTGTGGGTCAGCTACTGAGGCTTTCTGCAAAATAAGAACCCTGTGTCACTGGATGTGCCCCTTACTTATGAGGTGCAAGCAGATGTTTCTAGTGCTGTATCATTCCTGACTGGTGGTTTGCTTAAGAAGTCAAAATAACACTTTTCCTTGTATTGTTAGTCACTTGTGTTTCACTGTAATTCAGAGCTTTTTCATACGTTTCCATTCATACTAGGCTACGTTAGGCTCATCATCCTCAGGTGCATTGTCATCCTTTACTGCTGCTGTGAAAATAATATGATATGGATGTTCAGGATTGTGGGCAGTGCAGGCAGTAACTCTGGTTCTTCCACGGGGCACAAAAAGCCAAACAGGTGGCATAAATCTGCTCAGGATTGTTGGAAGCCTTGAGACTTCCTTTTTTTTTTTTTTCCACTTTTGCGCATTCCATTTATTCTCCTTATTTTTGAAATATATGACTTCGTTTTCTAGTCTAGTGAGGATGATTATCGCCTCATAGTGATTTTTTGTTACTAGAGATATGGTTCACTTAGTTCTGTGCCTTTTGTAAGATAAAATTCCTGTTACCTGATTTTAACTCTGCAGTCCTCAGTGTCTGTTTTTCCTTGTCTTTTAGAGTGAAGACTGGAACTGCTGGAGGGAGGTGCATAGCTGCAGGTATGAACTGATTACAGTTCATGTCTTTCAATTACTTATGGAAACCTCCTTTCAAAAGTCTAGAGGAAAGTTCAGTTTCAGTGATGAACATGAACATTTTTCCCTGCAGTGAGCAGTGCTCCCTGAACCTTGAGCTCTTGGCAGTTTCCTGCCTTTGTGCTGCTAAAGAGGGTTGAAAGTGTTAACAACTCTGGATTGCGAATACTGGATAAACAGGCTTTCTTAGCTCCATTTGAGATAGGTCTTTTTTTTTTTTCTGAAATTTTACAACTATGAAACAGAAATGGTTGCCTTCACAGAAGTTTCTTGAACACAGCAAATCTCAAGTACTTGATAGTGCATGAAACCTGTAAGGTGAGTATTAGTGGAATAACTTCCTACATGCCGAGACAGATCAAATTGTGTAGCATAATGGAAGTGTGGTCTAGGGTGAAAATACTTGGAGCCAAATGTGAGTATCTTTTGGTGCAGTTTTGTTAGTAGCTGAAGTCCAGCAAGGGTGCAGTTTCACCACACGGCAGAGCCAACCTAAGGGCTTGAGGTTGCCCTCTTGCCTTTACTCAGTTCTCAGCTGAGTCATTCAGCTTCTTTGGTTGTGTGTGGCTCTCCTGGTACTTTGACTGCATGGTAAACAAAGCCACTTTGCTAACCCAGTGATACGTTTGTGATCAACGTATTCCCCCAGTTTAGCAATTTGGATTCATTTTCTGTGTACAGAGGAGCCTCAAAGGGAAGGGATCAGACCATTTCATGTAACTGTGTACCTTAAGAGTTTCAGTTCTGTTCTGAGAACTGTTAGTGTGACTGCTGTGCTAAGTAATGCTGTCATGCTCAAAGGATTGTGTTTGTGCCCTCCTGATGAATATCTCTGCTATGGCAAAAACATTTCAGGCATGCTTTGGTCTGTAGACAAAAGAGGGAAACTCTTTGGCAGGGGATTGGCATAGTAGTCGTATCGTCTCCCAAGCCTTGCAGAATGCTCTCAGTAGCTTTACCAGGGCCCTTTAGAGATGAGGAATATACACTTTTATCATTTGCAGGAAAAGTAGTGTTTTTTTTTTTTTTTTTTTTTTTTTTTTTTTTTTTTTTTAATACATTCTTTTTTGGAAGAAAAACTACAACCTTGGAAATATTTGAAATGGCCTTCTGCCAAAGTGATGTTTGCTAACATATTTGAAGTGGGATATAGAGGTTCACGGTAAAGTAACTACCCTTTCCTGAGAGATTTGAGAAATAAAGCAGTGATATAAATTCCTGTGAATACTTGCAAGGCATTCAGTTGTCATTGTGTACAAGACTTGTTCATTGCCACACTCTTAAGTTTCTTCATTTTGCTTAAGAGGACGGTTCGTTAGTCAGTCTCCTCATGGCTTAATCATACTTGTCATCTAGTGGTATTGCTCAGCCAAGTCACCTGCTACAGAACTGTATTTTTTGATAGGAAGTTAAGGTGTGGGTGGGGTGTTCTTGGGTTTTTTTGTTTGTCTGCTTGTTTTTTCTATCTTCTGTAGTACTCCTTAATTCCAGGTTGTCTCAGTGCTTTTTGACTTTTGGGAAGACTATTTAGGTTTGCCTGAAAAGGGGAGATATAAAAATCTCTTGAAAATGAAGACATTCCTGAGATCAAATTTAGAGTTTTCTGGGTTTGTTTGTTTGTTTTGCTCCAACTTCAGCTTCCTACCCTCATAAGTAGGATGCAGAGAGACAGGAAATCCTGCCTTTTAAAGACAAACATTGATTTTCTTTCCAATGTAGGTGTGATTAATTCCTTCTCAATGTATTTATGAAATCTTTAGCAAACATGTTTTGTTCACAGTAGAAAGGAAATATCTCCTCATTGTAATTTCAAAATTCAACCATTTTTGGTTGTTTTTCAAGTAAAGGACAAAAGGGACCCTTCCATTACCAGTTTCCTTAACTATTCTATCCCTACACTTTGGTTTGAAAGCGAGATCCTTGTTTCTGAAAGAAAGAGGAAATATATTTTAAGTATGAATCCCTGTGAACTCAAAAAAGAAGCATATTTACAGCCTTTTGTTTTTTTTTTTTTTTTTCCTGCACTGATTTTTATCTGTTGAGCTCTATAAAAACAAAGCAATTTTTTTTTTCCCTCAAACCTATGTCTCTTTAATCCTGCTGTGTTTGGGAGCACTGATAAATTGCACAACCCCTCCTCCCCACACAGTAGTACTCTTCACCTTATGAAGACAATGCTTACTGCTTCACACAATGAACACTCTGGACCCTGGCCAAAGTTTCAAAAGCCTGTTTCCACAGGCTTTTACTAACTGCAGCTATTGATTGTTTTCATTCCCTGATTACTGGGTAGCTGCTGTCCTAACCACACCTCTGTGTGTGTGTATATATATATATATATATATATATATATATATATATATATATATATATATATATATATATATATATATATATATATATATATATATATATATATATATATGTATGCATGTATTTAATTGAAACTTTATTCTGAGATTCAGGATTGGCCCTTGAATTCAGAAAATCCTCACAACTTGCTTATTGCTTTTCCAAAGCAAATTATTGCTTTTTGTCTGTCAAATATTACTGTTGTATAGTGCCTTATAAGCACTTAGAATTTGGGGACTTCTGTATTTGCACTTAGCAGATCCACACTCACCCTGTTGATGGTGTTCTGCTGGGGCACAAAAATGCCTTTACACTGTTTAAATGCCTGATGAATAAAGAGCAAGCACTGTAGTGTTCATGTTGTTTTGACTTCCCTGCCCCTCCCTTAAGATAATACTGTGATTCTCCTGAAAACTCCATTGGGAGAGATCTGCCAGCCTGTTGTTTGATGAAGAATAGAAACACTTTTCTATTCTTACCTGACACATCCATCTTCAGATAAGGTGTGTGCAGATCAGAGACACTTCAAAACAAAGCATTTGATATGGAGGTTGGAATGCATATTTAAAGGTTTAAAATTTGTCCACTCAGAAGGAACTCTAGCTCTTCCTTAAGAGAAGTAGATTCTTACTCAGAATACTTCAAAAGCCATTTCAAGTTGTGCAAAGTAGATGTAAATTGGTGTCATTGTAGATTTTCTTTGTTTGGAGGGTCTATTTTGGATTAAAGGTTTTTCTTCTCTATTAGTGAGTGATGGGATAGGTGTAGGTCTGCTCTCAAATGGAAAATTGGAGTAATCTAGTGCTGCATGTGAATTCTCTTCAGGTAACGTGCTAAGCAAAGCTTTCATTTGGATAAAATTAAAAAAGCAAAGTGATGAAATAATGACTTTTTTTTTTTTTTAACCATAGTATGTTGTTAGCTGGTTCGGTTTTGTGTCTGGATCTGTTAGTAGAAATAATTTGAGCCTGATGGTCTCCTTCTCAAAACAACTTGCAGGATTACTCAGATGGCTGCAAAGGACAATGAAACTTGAAACTTGTTGCTTTCAGTTTAGTCCCAACGGTCTCTTCAAGCCTCAGGGGGGGTGAGGGAGGGAAAAACTTCTAATGAACTTAAAATAATAATAGTAATAATAATAATAACTCTTTTAAAAGATGTGTGACTGCCTTTCTAAGAAGTATCAGAAATTTTAAAGTTATTTAATAGTATGAATTTTCTTCCTTCCAGGTAAGTTACATGTTACATTTGTTACGCCAAAAATCAACTTTGTGCCCAATTCTTATTTTAAAATTTATACACAAGCACAAGGTATGCTACATTTACCGAACTTGACCAAAGGTATTTTCATTCACTGTAGCTCTCATGTGGGGTAATACAAGGTTCATATGTGCAATTGTGCTTGAATTGTGTAGCTTGTTCTTCAGGCTCCCTTGGGTCAAATACACAGAAAATTGCCATGTAGTTGCATAAGTGTATTTGGCTTGTGGTGTGTTTGGTTTGACAAGGAACAGAATCTGTTCATAACTCCCCAGTACTCGGTTGATTCGGAGCCTCTGCCTAGAGGGAGTAACTTTTAACTGTGTTTTTGTGGCATGCCATTTCTAGATGACTCTTTAAAAGTCTCTCTTGCAAATATTGCAGGGATGATTAACTGTTTGTTTTACACTGCATCTCTTTGACCAAGTACAGACAGATTCTTGTAGGAAAAAAATGCAGGCCTATTTGAAGCTTGATTTCTAGGTGTTGTGCTGCTATTTCTAGAGTGAAATAGCTGAGTGAGATCTAAATTATACAGTTCAGGAGAGTTGCCTACTGGGTTGCCTCTTGGCCAAAAAGTCACCTAACAAATGTCTAAAGATAAATCCCTGATAATTAGTAGTGTTTTCTTGAAATCTTTAAAAAGTAAATTTATAAACTCAGTCCTATGATTTGTGGGGGGAGGAAAGGGAACAAGGTAAAGGAAAGTTTGCTGCTTCTTTCAGGGCCTCATCTCTCGCAAGCATTACTATTTGGATACCCTTCCACTGAAGATTAAAAGCTGGTATTCAAGTGCTATTTATCATCCATACTATGCAACATAGGCTGAAGTGAGTTTAAAAAGATTAAAAAAAAAAAAAAAGTCTTCTGTAGCCATAAATGTTCCAGCCTGTCTCCTTTGAGTCATTCTTTCTGTTTTCACGGGACAGAGATGCCTGTCCTCACTTTCTGTGCTCTGCCCCTATCTTTATCTCCTTTCCTCTCATTTCCTGCCTTGTCTCCTGTTGTGTGTCATCTTACTGCATGTGTTTCCTCTTACTATTGTTGTGACCAAGGCACTTTCTACTGCTTTAAAATTTCTTCTGTCTAGAGTGCCAAACTGTCTACAGATCTTTCACATCTCTCCTAGGAACTTAGGTTCAACTTCTTTTCCCAAAGTGATTTCCTCTGCATATCCATAGTTTGTCTCTTGCAAGATAAAAGTGTCTTTATTTGAACACTGTAATAATAAAAGCTCAGAATATTTCCAAGCTATGTCTGGTACAATTTGACAGGTGGTTTAAAAGAGGAAAAAAAGGAAGAAAAAAAAAACACACATGACAGATGATATTTTTATCTGAAGTTGTCTGTTG